GCAATAAGAACACATCAGCTGCATTGCATAAATTCTGAGATAATGCTGATGATATTAATTTATTGATGGTTATGGACAGTATGCTCATCCTTGGCAATAACATGGGAATATAAGTGGTAACATATGTCAATTTTATTATTATTATTATTTTGGTTTTTTGAGACAGGGTTTCTGTGTAGCCTTGGCTGTCCTGGACTCACTTTTTAAACCAGGCTATCCTCAAACTCACAGAAATCCGCCTGCCTCTGCCTCCCTGAGTGCTAACACGTTATTTTAAAATCTTACATAAGTTTAGACACCAAGCACAATTTCATTACTCTTAGAAAAACTGACAGACTTTAGAAAAAAGGTCACAGACCAATATCACCCATAAATACAGATGCAAAGTCCCACATAAAATGCCTTAGCAAAGTTTAAAGAAAAAATGAAAAAGAATATTAACTGCAGAATAAAATTTAGTTATGTAATTTAAGTACATTCTCCCAACCAGGCAATAAGCTGACACAAATTCCCAGAAGGGCTGCTTCAGTATTCTTTTTGCTCTTCTTCCTAAGAAAGGTAAGCTTGCCACATCCAACACGTTAACCAGGACAGGATAACTAGGGTGAAGGCTTGCACCTTACTGAGCTCTCATCTGCTGCCACCTACTGGGAAGCAAAACGGGCTTCCAGCATCCTTAAAAGGTTTACAGAGATGACCTTGTATGCAAAGCTTTGCCTGTTCCATGAAAGTGAACATAAAAAAAAAAAAAATGCCTTTGGACCCGAAAGAAATGAGAAATTTTAGGATAAATGAGATGCATATAAGGTAAGACCTGAATATAAAACTGAGACTATATTCTTTTCCACCCATAGAAACTAGATGGCATATCTGCACTTCTCATGGCTTAAAATGCAGTTCCTTAAAATGCTGAACTTCAGAAGTAGTGATCAAGTGTTTACTTAAAGGTAAATACTGGTAATTAACCATTTGACTTGGGCTAATGAAGAAATTAAGTGCCTAAGAAGAACTATACTTAAGTGAGATGTTGTAATGTTTTGAAATTGTGAGGGTTCCTCTGAGGAATGAGGGCTGAATGGATTCTGCATGGAAACCCTAAGAATCTTTGGGGGCCAGATGGTGGACTGTGGTAGGGAAAGCCTCCCGTTAACAAAGATTTCCATGCCCTCATCACCAACACATGTAAATATGTTTCCTTACAAAGCGCAAATAGGTACGATTAAAGACTTTGTGATGGGGAGATTATCCTAAGTGGACTCAGTTTTGCCATACCAATCCTGAAAATTAGAGAACCTTTTACTGATGCTACTGGCTTTGAAAGTAAAAAAAAAAAAAAAAAAAAAAAAGCACCTTGGTGGCTTCTAGAAACTACAAAGAGCAAAGTAACACTCTTTTCTAAGATTCTGGAAAGGAATGAAGTCCACTGACAGGCTGACTTAAGCACAGGAAGGATAGTTGCATCCTGACCTACAGAAAATAGTAAATTTCGGTTCTTTTAAACTGCTAAGTTTGTAGCAATTTTTATGGCAGTAATAGAAAGCAAATACAGTGATAAGTATAGTTACTATATGCTAGCATTACAGTAAGAGATTCCTACAAGGAGATTCACCTGAGGAAGAAGGCAAAGACATATGCATGATACATACTCTAACCCTTCACTGCCCAGCTGATCCAATTCCCGCCCTTCATTGTGGCTTATAGCACCCAATCCAGTTTCCCTGTTGTGTTTTTTAAACAAGCTAAAGATGGAAACACAATGCCACCCTATAAAAGGGAATGAGTGTGTTATCATCAGGAGTTCCAGGAACCTGCACATGGCAGCTATTCAAATTTGTTGAATATTTAAAAAGTCATAACTGACCGGTTACAAAAACTCACAAGTCTTATTATAGCATGCCACACAGCACTGAACAGAGACCAAGAGCTGCTTTGGTTGGTGAATTCCCAGGCCTCAGTCTATGGAGTTAAATGTGATACCTGTAACAGTGAGGTCATTTCTAAACCCTTTCCACACGAAGTTCTTAGACATGGTGCAGCATTTCTTAAGGTCAGATTATGAGAACACTGCTGTACCATGAATTTTGTATTTCTCATATGTGAACGTGTAATTAAATAATTGCCAGATACAATGTTTCCCTGATTTTTAACTTTCAAAAATATTTGTATGTTTCTGCAAGTATGCATGTGTTCCACGTGTGTGCCTGGTGTTCACAGAGGTTAGAAGAGGGTAATGATTATTTTGGAACTGGAGTTGAAGACAGTTGTGAACTGCCTTGTGGGTGCTGGGCACCAACTTGGCTCTTCCGCAAAGCAGCCAGGATGTTCTTCATCACTGAGTCATAGCTCCAACACTTACAGCTGTCACTTAAACTACCTGTGTTTAAGATAATATCCTTTTTTTTCTGGATTACCTGAAATCTGCAGACCTCGTGACCTCAGACCTATCTGTTTACACATGGACTAAAAATGAAAGGATCCTTCTACAAGGTCATTCATTCCTGAGAAATTCGAGTCAATCATGCGTATTCGTGTTAAAATTTTAAACCGTTACTGCTACCTAAGATTGCTCAGTTGCCTTAAACATAATTATGCTTTTCGATACTGGCATTTCTGAAGACCAAATAAAACCAATTTTGATTTTTTTCTGCATGACTCTTAACAATGACATTCAGACTAACCCTTTTGGGAAGAACACTGCACACAGGTTGAACCCACACAGCCTCCAAGATAGGTTCCAGCCGTTGACCCCTGCCCCATGGTGACAGCACTTCTGCTTTAGCGTCTACTAACATTTCCCAAAGGACTGATATTCCCCAAGAGTTGGGGAATACTCAATTTTAGAGTTTGCGGAGCAAACAGCAAGTAAAGGCTGGAAGTCACTTTTCTAGTTGGCAAAAGCCTCCTCATAAACTTATCTGTCATAAAACTTAACTTTTATCAAAAAAAGAAAAATATTGTGTAGGTCAGTGTGGATGTTGCCTTGATTAGAGTATTAGAAAAATTTTCTCCTAAAAATCTCGTCCCACTATACAACGCGTTGGCACCAGTTACATCATGTCAGGTTTTTGTTTGTTTTAGTAGGCACAGTGGGGCACCCCTCTACTCCCGGCATTTGGGTGGCAGGGGCAGATGGGTCTGCTAGAGGACAGCCGGGTTTACACAGTGAGTTCCAGCACAGACAGCCAGACCCTGCCGCAAAACACACACACACAAATTACCCTTCACCCCAGTGCACGGTCAGGTTATTTCGAGGGAGAGCCTGCCCAGGCTGGGACCTCCTCCGGCAGTGCTGAGGCGGAGAGCGCCGGCCCCTGAATGCGGAGCACGTTATGAAATATTACTACCAGGCACCAGCTTTAACGAGGAACCCTGTGGGCCCTCAGGCTCTCCACGCCACCGTTCACACGTGCATTTCGGCGTGGAGCGGTTATTCAAACAGGTGGCCACGTGCTTCGCAAACTTTGTCCACACCGTCGTCAGGGCCCATGTCGGGCTTCCGGGCGCGGGAGGAGGGGCGTGGGCGGCGAGGCTCGGCAGGACCGGAAGGCCCGAAGCGAGTCGGCCGCGCGGCCTTCACCCCGCTTCCCGCCCAGGCCGTGCAGGCCTCCCGCGCACGCACACGAGGCCACGAGACCGCCCGCCCACCGGCGACTGCGCCTGCGCGGAGCGTCACGCTGCGCCTGCGTGCGTCCGGCGGCGGAAGGGGCGGGCAGAGCGGGAGGAGCGGGCGGAAGGGGCGGTGCGATGCGCGCGGCCTCGCGAGGGTGAGTGTGGGGCCCCGTGCGCGCGGAGGCCGGCTGTCCGGGCCCCTGCGTCCTCCGCCCGGGGTCAGCCCCGCCGTCGGGGGCGCCCCCTGGAGGCCCGCGGGGGCCAGCGGAGGAGGCTGTGGCTGAACTGGGGGCGGGCAGTCTGCGGTCGCGCCGGAGGGAGGACGCCAAGGCCGCGCGCTCTTTCCCTACGGTAGAAAGGCGTCGCAGACACGGTCACTGCTGCGGGCCGCAGCGAAGGAGACCGGCCGGGCGGCTGCTCCGCCTGTGGAAGGGAGGGCACACATCGAAGAGTGTCAGGACATTCAGACCAGGATATAAAGTAGGGTTCAAACTAGGAGTCTAAAGCAGTTCTGGGTTGCCTAACACCTGGACGGCGCCTCAAGAGCTGCTCCGCAGAGGTCATGTGACTTCAGAGATGCGGTTCTCATTTGAAAACATGAAAGACGGCCTAAGCCATAATAACGTGAAAAGGGTTTCTTACTGCGGCCTTTAAGAGTTGTGGCCCACGCATATATTTTGGAGAACAAAGAGACTATAAAAAGAGTTTAAGCTGTTAGAAAAGCAATTTCCAGGAGAAACGAAACATTTAGGGGCTCATCTACAATATTCAGAATGTTCTTTGACAAAGTAACCTTCAGGGCAGCAGCTTAAAAGGACGGTTCTCTTCAGGCTTTGTTTCCTATTAGGAGAGGATGTAAACATGGAAAGTTACATAACCATTATGCACTTGAATCGGTGCTTATGAATTTGAAAGTGTTACACGAATCTATTTGGAATGGATAAAGCAAATGAAGATTGAAACTTGCCGTGGCTGATTGGTGCCATGCGGGAAAAGCAGCGACTAATCCTCCTGTGTAAGAAAGGTGTGGGTGGGTCTTTTACAGAGATCTGATCTTCTGCAGCTCGGATCTCAGCGTTTCTGTGGTTCTTCCCTTGGTTTTAATGTGAGTTGCCCTTCAGTGGAGTTAATATGTACTGTCTGTGTGCCAGGGACAGCTTGTTAGTGATCTGTGAAGATTATCACCCAAGCTAGTATTCAGAATAATTGGAATTAGAGAAGAAAAGAACCCCAAAGGCTAAGATCAGCAGGAGAGGATTTAAGAAAACAGGGGACTTTAATTGAGGAGAAGTGTAGAAGAGGAAAGGCTCGTTGGGAAAGCCAAGTGGCGGGTTGGGAGACACAGTCTCCTTGGAGGAGTTTGAAAGGTGAGTGGACGGAAATCGCTCAGCAGAAACTGATCCAGATAGGGACTACTGGACTTCGTTCCTAGGGCAGCGGTTGTCAAACAGAAGGCTTAGGAACCTCATGCTGTCGGGCTCCACCCCACAGTCTGTGTCAGAAAGCCTGGAGCAGGGCCCGAGATTTTCCCTCTCATCAGGTATTCCTGATATGGTTTGGGGATTTGCTGTCCTAGGATATGGAAGAATTTGAAGAGAGTAAAAGGCCTAGATTCATGCTCCAAGATGAATATTGTTGTGCAGTCCAAGGGGCCTGGAGTTGGAGAGAAGAGCTGTGTTCTTAGTGCTAATGCGCATGAGCTTGGTGCCAGGTCCTCATGCAAGCTGAGTATGCGTAGACATTCATGCTTGCTCTTCCACTGGCCTGTCAGCCTATTTATATTTTGCACAGGAAGAATCTGAGACTGTAGGAGAGTGCTCAGTTACTTGATAGTCTCAGAGCCCATAACATTGCAGATTCGAACCCCAGTCAGAGCAGAAGAAGGATAAAAACATTTGATAGTGAGAGGCTCCCACCACAAATTTACCTCAGTGTAGGTATTTGGACTATTTCTGGAAACAGTGAAAGGTAAAGTGGGCAGGGAACCTCACAGAAGCCCTCCCGTGTTACTTTCACACATCACTGACCTGCTTAAACCTTGCTTAGTAGTTGCTTTCTTAAGAAGGTCGGTCCACCCAGCAAAACCTCCTGGATCATTTGAAGAGGGGAGGCGGAGATGACGAGTAGGTTAGTCGTATCCAACAGCTTAGCTCCCAAACCAAAAGACTCCAGGCCTGGGGCAATTTCATGGCCTTTGAGGAGAGTGCTACCTCATATTGAGTTTGAAATGCCTTTTCTTGCCAAGGTAATTGCTATAATTAAGAATATTCACTTGAGTTTGTGAGCTGCTATCACTCCCGTGAAAATGGTGAATGTTCCTAAGACCCACTGGACATTCTGCAAGAAATGTGGCAAGCACCAGCCCCACAAAGTGACACAGTACAAGAAGGGCAAGGATTCTTTGTATGCCCAGGGAAAGTGGCGTTACGACAGGAAACAGAGTAGCTATGGTGGGCAAACTAAGCCTGTTTTCCACAAAAAGGCTAAAACTACAAAGAAGCTTGTGCTGAGACTTGAGTGTGTTGAGCCCAACTGCAGATCTAAGAGAATGCTGGCTCTTGAGAGATGCAAGCATTTTGAACTGGGTGGCGATAAGACGAGAAAGGGCCAAGTGATTCAGTTCTAAGGTGATTTGATTATGAAGATAAAATAAAATCATGAGCTTTTGTTCACCTCATTTGATTGTAGTTGGTCTTTTGAGCGGGAATAAACTAAAGTTTGTGCGTGGAAAAAAATATTCATTTGATCATATCCTAATTCAGACCCTGAAGTCTGCCTCGCAGACTCCTAATGAAGAAAAACAGGTATATATCAGACTTTGAAAAAAGAAAACTGCTTATTTACAAGTATTCTGTTTTCAAAATAGCAGCAGTCAGTGTCATAGGCTCATGTAAAATTATTGCATATATTCTTTGATTTTGTGAACAGGAAGCCATAGGTCCAGAGAAACTGTGGTCTGCAGAAGACTGCCATCTTCAAAGTGACCCCAGTGCAGTGTGATAAGGGCTGTCAGAGAGGCAGGCGTGAGCCACAGACGTCCAGAGAGCAATCTGGCGCTGTAGAGTATGCGCTTGAGCTTGTTCTTGAAGGCTGAGAGGATTTTGTGAGATGATGAGGAAAAGACATGCCGCATAGAATGTGATGACAATCACTCTAGGAAAGAGTATAGCCTTCTCTGGGATCCATGTGCAGACCAGAACGGTTAGAGCAGGGAAGTGAAAGTGAGGGGGGTGGAGTAAGTTGGAGAGGATGACAAAAGAGTTCACAAGGAGGATAAGATACTTACACACTGCCTGGCTTGGGGAGATTGTGAACTTCATGATACCAGGAGTCATGCCTGACCCATGTGTCAGCACATTCCATGGTCTAGCACAGTACCCTGCCTGTAGTAGCTTCTGCACAGAAAAGAGCACTTTTGTTACACTTTCCAATGTTTTAAGGAGATGATATGGACGTGGGATGTGTGGCCATGTGGAGGATGACTACAGAATGGTAAGAGATGGCTGTAGTGGACTGTGGTCTTCTAAGCTCACTGATGGAGCAAGGCCTGGTGCTTTGCATTTAATTGTTTTTTTAATTCTTTATTAATTACACTTTAGTCACTTTGTATCCCTCCTGTGGTTCCCTCCCTCCTCCCGTCCTGATCTCTCCTTTCCTCCACCCTCTGCATGCATGCCCCTCCCCAAGTCCACTGATAGGGGAGGTGCATTCAATTGTTACCTGCTTGCCCTCCACCCCCAGGTGGTTACTGTCCTGTGAGGAAAAGCTCACATATACCAAGTGATGCTGTGGCTGTATTCATTGCAGTCTGCATTAGAGAACGAGAAGAGACAATGGTAGAGTTCTTAATGTGTAAAAGGGATACATGGTATTGGTGATATTTGTGTTCCTTGCATTTCTGTGTACATGTATGTTCTAAATATATTTCTTAGGGTATACAGAGCTTGAAACCCATTACGTTAAAGAGATGTGGGGAATGGAAAAGAGAATAAATAAGTCATTTTTGAGGAAAGTAGATGTGAACTTAGCATGTTACTATCCATGTGAACTCTATCTCTAATCACAAGTATATTTAATTTTTGTTCCAGTAACAAAGCAAAGGTTTATTTTGGTTCAGTTTTGGAGACTTTGGTCCATGACCAACTGTCCCTGTTGGCTCTATGGTGGCACAGTATATTATGGTGGTGTGTGACAGAGAAGATACCTGCCTCATGGAGCCAGGAATGAAGGAGAGAAGGGGCTGGGATTCCGGTATTCCTTTGAGGGTACCGCCCCCCCTCCACCACCACGCCAACCCCCGTGGCACAAAATAGGGCTTCCATGAGGCCCTATTTTCTTAAGACTCTATTGAACCTAATAGCACCAAAGGCTTAGAACCAAGTGTCTTACACATAGACCTTTAGTACTTTTAAGATCCAAGCCATAGCATGAAGTCATGACTTAATCTATTTCCGTTTTTGTGCCTACTTGCTATTTTTCATTGACTATTAAAACACTGGCATCCTGGTTTAGTTAGGTTTGACAGTATGACAGCACTTTGAAGTGAGCGACTGAATGTTGTAAATGCTACAGAGTTCAGTGTTTTGGTAGTGCATAGCTTACACATTGTCAGGATGAAGCCTTACTGTCAGAGAGCATGACAGTTAATTGAATAGTTTGGTATGGTTGATGGCCACAGCCTTTGGTGTCTGTCCTTCAGGCAGAGATGCTTAGTTACATGAGCAAGTGAGGGATCCTTGTCCCCACTTAGATCATCTGCCAGTATAATGGACAGAGCCTGCTAGAATGTCAATAAAATTACAAGCTTATGTCTCTGTCCTTTCTTGTGACATGCATATTCATTATAAAAAGTTGTTCATAATTCTAAGTTATATTTACTTTTAAGAAATATATTGGCCCCTTTAAAATCAGTTTAATTAAATAATGGGGTTAATAAGTTTTGGATTTATTGGGTGTGACTTTTCTGTAAAATGAAAAACACTTTAAATTGTTTACATTTTAGTCTGTTCTGTACCTAACTCACTATTGGGACTTCATGCTGACTTTCTAATTTTGACAAAAATGAAAAACAAAAACAAAAACATCCAGATGTAACCATGACACATTCAAATGTGAAGGCTGTTTTACTTTCTCTTGAGGTCTCATCATATAGATCTGTGTTTGCAAAGTCCCACCACTAGTTGTGAGGCCTTGCCAACCCACCTCAGTGCTGAGCTTCTTCACCTATACAACAGGATCTCATTTGTTGTAGGATTATTGCATGGATTAGTTAGGAAAGCACACACAACTCGCACATCCTCCACATGAAGGGAGGCAGCGTTGTCAGTGTCTACCATCCACACAATTCCAAGAGATGGGGTGGAAACAGTAAGCCACACAATTAGTCTGCACGGCACTGAGCTTTTTTTTATTGTGAACAGGTACAAATAATACCATTCTTTTCTTAGTTCTGGGGTTTCACTGAGAGGACTTTTAAGATCTGTATGTGCATGAAAGAACTGCCTGCAGAACAGACCCTAAGCTGATGAGATAGCAGGGAGAGAGATTGTCAATAAATTGTTGTAGAAAATTGCATGCATGAAATTCTCAGCTAATAAAAGTATCTTTATATTGTCTTAAGAAATGGCTTTTTATGTGTTAAAGAATTATACTATTTTTATTAGACAGTTTTTAGTCATTTGTTTAAGGGAATTTGTGTTATGAATGAACAGTCTGGTCAAGTTCTTGTGGGATTGGTTCCTTCCATATTTAGCTTCTGTGGACGTTTGGTTAGATGTCATAGTTGTCTTGATTGACAGCATGGTGCTTGGAAGAGCAGAATGTGTTTTGTAAAGGTTCTTAAATTACACAGGTTTTATTGTTGGTGAAGCTCTTCCCCATAGTCTGAGTTGTGTTGACAGGTCTAAAAGAACAGTTTTGAAAGTCTGCTGTGTCCCAGGCTCTGCTTTAGAGCCTGAGGAGGTAAAGACTAGATACTGCCCTTTCTGTGTGAGGATCGTCAGCTGACAGGAGTGATGAGAACTGGTTAATAGATTGCAAGACAAAGCAACGAGTACTGTGTGGCAGATGTGAACAAAAAGTTATGGAGCATTAACTAGCACAGCTAACTGCCTGGGACGGTTAGAAGAAATGTGTCTCAGAGGAGGTGCTGTTTCAACTCAAGAGACATTTGTCAGTCAAAAAAAATTAATGCAGAATACATGGAGCAGTGGCCCATGGATAACACCTTTCAGAGTGTGGTTGCACTTCTAATCTCTGTCTGATTCTGGTAAAAATCTGTGTGTAGAAGCGTAGCGAAAACGGTAGCTACCCTTTTCACCCGCATGTAATTCTTCTCACTACTTTCTTTTGGGAAGATATGCTAATGCTATGTCTAATTTGGAAGTTGACGCGCATAGATTGAATGTGACGCTGAAGGTGACAGCAAATAGTAAAGACCCGTCAAGTTGAGTCCTGGGTCAGGAGGCGATATAAGTGAGGAGTGAAGAGGTCACAGGGTATGGCAAAGGTAATTAAATCATGAGTGCTTATTAGACATTTCTCATTTAAAAATCTAAATTCTAATCTTTAAAAAAGATTTTGTGGTTGCTATAGCAACTGCATTAGTTTTCCGTTGGTGTTCTTAGGGTGTAGCAAATTATCACACACTGAGGGCCTTAAGACAACACATTTATTTTCTTCCTAATTAATTGATTTGTGAGGGAAAGCGTCCATGCCAAATCCAGCATGTGGAGGTCAGAGAACAACTTAGCAGAGATAGTTTTCTCTATCCACTTTTACTTGGGTTCTGGGGATCCAAGTTGGATGACTAGGCTTGCCTGGTCGCATCTGTACCTGCTGAACTATCTTGCTGGACCAACAGATTTGTTGTCTTAGAGTTTGATTGGTCAATGGGTTAGTGGGCTAAAGTCAAGGTGCTGTTGCTGCTTTATTCCATCCTCACCTCAGTGAATTCTGCCTCTTTGAGTTTTTCAGACTTTCCAGTCAGCCTTCATTGGTTGGCTCTTGGTCCTTATACTCCAACCTCAAAGCCAACAAGAGTGGATTGAATCCACATGCCATCAGGTTGTTCTTTTTTCTGCCTCCCTCCTCATTTTAATCACTTGGTGATTCCATGATGTCAACTTGGATTAATAGATTAATCTCTTTATCTTAAATTTAGCCGACTAGTACCCTGAGTTCTACTAGCATATTTCAGTTCCCGTTTGTAAAGTAATATAATATGTTCTCAGAGCTGAGGAAGTCAGAGACATGGATGCTGTCAGAGATGCCATTCTTATACACTATAACAATATGCTGCTTTTAAAAATCATAAAAACATACTCTGCCAAAAGCAACATAGACGCACCATGGTAATTCTAATGTATGTGAAGTTTGATTTTTAAAAAAATGTCCTTTACCTCTTCTATCTCTAATCAGTTTTAAGATGAGCTTCTAGCTCATGGATTTAAACAACATCTAAATGTCATTGATATCCAAATTATGCCTCAGCTCTGATTTCGGCACTAAACCTAAGTCTGAAATGCATCTGAATATCCAATGGGCCTTTTTAAAAATTAAGTCTGGGGCTGGAATGGCTCAGTAGATAAAGCATTTGTCACCCAAGTGTGAGGACTGGTGTTCAGATCCTCAGCTCCCACATAAGTACCTGTCAGACATGGTGACAAGCCTGTAAACTAAGCACCCAGGAAGCAGATAGAGGGATCCCCAAAGCAAGCTAGCAACTAGATTAGTCAAATTGGTGAACAATGAGCTCAAGTGAGTAACCCTACCTCAGTATACAAGATGGAGAGCAATCAAGGAAAACATCTGACATCAACCTATAGCCTTCATATACATGTGACATATACATACCTGGCTATCATGCACAAATACCCATGCTCAGGATAGACCTTTACCTGGGCCTTTACTGCTTCGTTTCCTATTCAACATCTTGTATGAAAACAGCTCCTTGAGGATTCTTAGAGAATTTACTCATCATCACCCCCACTTGGTCCAAGCCATCATCTCTCATAGGTACAGTTACAATAATTTCCTCACTTGTTTTCTCATCTTTGTTTGTACATATTGCTCCCTGCTACCTACTTTGGAATTTTACATTAAGCAGCTAGAAATCCTCTAAAATGTGTGCGTGTGTGTGCGTGTGTGATGGGCTAGAGAGATGGTTTAGCAGTTAAGAGCACTGACTGCTCTTCCAGAGGTCCTAAGTTCAATTCCCAGCAACCACGTGGGATTTTTGTAATGGAATCTGATTCGCTCTTCTGGTATGCATGAAAATAGGGTAGTCATATATAATTAATAGATAGATAGATAGATAGATAGATAGATAGATAGATAGATAGATAGATAGAGTGAGTAAATATGTATAATAAGTTCTTTGTCCTGGCTTCCCATGTCACTCAAAGTTAGTACACTCATCTGTCTGTAAAGTTCTGTATTCAACCTGC